GATTCAGTGGAGTCTTTATATTGCCCCTGGCAAGAATAAAGAGTGTTCAAAAGTAGAGGCAGAAAACAGAATAGAGTGGGAGCTGGAAATCTGTCAAATCACTGCTTTCCACTCACTGATTTGTATTTTTGAATCTATGTTCATCACTAATGTATGATGTGTCTAGGAGGCATGCATGGCACACATATGTGTGGAGGTCAGAGACCAGCTGTGTGCACTCAGTTCTCTCATTCCCTCTTTGCATGGATTTTTGGGATCGAACTCAAGTGCTTTCACTTGCTGAGTCATCCCCCCCAGTCCACTTATTGATATTTTAAACTCATGCTTGTTTTCTTCATTCTGGTATTTATATCCCCATTCTTATTTTTATTAATTTTTAAAGAATTTTTTTTCATTTTACATATCAATAACAGATCCCACTCTCTTCCTTCCTTCTGCCCCCCCCCACCCTCCACCCAGCCCACCCCAGCCCTGTACCCCCTCCTACAATAAGGTAAGGCCTCCCATGGGAAGTCAGCAGAGCCCGGTAAATTCAGTTGAGGCAGGTCCAAGCCCCTCCTTCTGCATCAAGGCTGTGCAAGGTGTCCCCCCTTTCCATATATCCCCATTCTTATCGATGACCTAATACAAACATTGTTGCATTTAATTATTAACACTCATCTCCTAGAAATATGTAGAAATGGAACATAAGGAAAATATTCCTGGAAAATACATATCACATTTCTTATTCTAACAGTCAATAGAATTCCTACTACCTGATGAGATCTTGTTTCTTGTAGGAAGGAGTGAACAGATAGTGTATGAATGCAAAGAAGAAGGTTAGAAGGTGGTCCAGGTAGGCTTACATCTTACATATTATATGTTAGAGGATCATCACCATGGATCACTGACAACTGTGAACTCAGAGTTAATACTTGGTTGTCACCTACATGACCACTTGGAAACAAGAGTGGGAAAAGGTTCTCCATTTGCTTTCTCAGTGTGTCAAACAATAATCAAGAGAATACAAGCAGTCATCCAAAGACTGAACATTTCCACGTGCCATTCTGGGTATGTGCCAAGTTAGTAAAATGCTTGCTTTACATTCATAAAGCCCCGGGTTTGATTTCCAGCACCAAATAAACCAACCATGATGGCACAATGCTTTAATTCAAGCACTTGGGAGGTAGAAGAAGGAGACTCAGAAGTTCAAGGTCATCCATGAACTACTAAAACAAAACCAGAACCCCTTGCTAACTATGTACCTGTATCTTTCCTTTTGAATCTCTGCTCCCTGAAGCATTTCCTTGATGAAAATTTAAAAAGTAAGCCAATAGCTCTGATAGAGATGTATAATCTGAAAACATAAGCAAAAACAATTAGATATAAAAATGGTACTACCAAGTAGGATTTATCTGAGGAATGCAATAACAAAAAGAAAAAAGTAAGCAAGAAAGAGAAATCATGAAATATACTATACAGTATTGTGTATATCTCCTTAGAAGAAAACATTAAAAATGATGTAAAATCATACCTATATTACCTGTTTCTTCGGCAGAAGTTTTAATCACATTAGGACCTTTCTGCACTGACCACTAGCAAAACCAAGCCTGTTAAGTATTCTGAATGTTGTACAGAATGGGACAATGTCAGTTTGAAACAAATGATCAAAAGTCACAATGGAACGATTATATGCCTGCATATAGCATTGGTATTATTCTATGCCAGAATATAGGCATGACCTTTAATCTGTGAACATAGACCATTCTAGGCCAAAGCATGAGTTACAGAGTTACTTTAAGGAGGTATCTGATATCTCACCTCTATTTCAGTTATTAAAACTTATGCCTTTGTTTGGTTAAATCTATAAAACAGGCATTAGATGATTTCTGAAATATAGTATAAAGAAACACAATAACATAAATTGACCAACAGCTTGCAGCATGCTTAAAGATTATTTTAGGCAATAGGAAGTAATTATTAAATAAAGACAAAGCAAAGAAAAGAAAAATCAGTGATGGTGATGTTTTAGGTAACCTGTTTACTGTCTAGTGTTGGAATAATTTTGGCCATGGACCACAAATGTTTTCATGCTAATGAGCATACTACATATGCACCAGAAACATATAGTTTATCATTCCCATATTTTCTCTAGTTAACACAGTGGTTTTCTAAGACTGTCTAAAAATGGCTTGAAAGATCAGGAAGCAAGACTATCTAGTCTTTTTGGTAGTTAAGGGGTGAGGCCTTGATGATGATTTTGAGACCAAAGTAGGCTATGGACCAGCTGAACTTCTCACTGTTGCAAAATGAGGGAGTGTAGCATGAACCTTAAAGGTACTTATTAATAAAATCAAACCTGAGGCCAGATATTGTGGTGAATACTGGAAGATCAGAGAAACAGAACAAGCCACACCTACCTCACCTTGCCACTTCCTCAGCTGATCCTGTTTCCTCAGACTGGAAGTCTCTGAGTCCTCATCCAGAATGAATCTCAGCTGAACTGCTACTCAAAAGCCCAAAAGCTTAACCAGTCAAAAGCTTCTAGTTTCTGGTCTGCATGCTTTATATACCATTCTGCTTTCTTCCATAACTCCCTGGGATTAAAGGCTCACTTCTTGGGATTAAAGGCGTGAGTCACCATGCCTGGCTGTTTCTAATGTGGCCTTGAACTCACAGAGATCCGGATCTCTGCCTCTGGAGTGCTAGGATTAAAGGTGTGAGTGCCACCATTTTCTGGCCTCTGTATCTAGTGGCTATTCTGTCTCTGACCCCAGATAAGTTTATTAGGGTGCACAATATTTTGGGGAACACAATACCAGCACAAGGGAGTCCACATCTTGCTCAGATATGATACAAAAAGAGAGAGACTAGTGCTAGTATTTGAAAGCTGCCAGTGGTCAAGAATCAAAAGAAGAGACATGTTTTCCTGCTGGATATGAATGGTAAACCTGAAAGCTACAATAACGATTGGCCTGGTACAATATGACCACTGATACAATAGTGGCACAATGTCATGGAAGCAACCAATGACTTCCTGATTGGTTTTATGCTATGCTTTATAAGTTGAAACCCATATCTTTCCCCAATAATGGAGCCGAGAAGCTGTGGTTGACTGGCGATGAGCTTTAGAAGAAACCCCACTAATATTACTATTCAAAATGGACACAGTATTAAACCCACTCCTAACTGCTTATTCATTATATCCATAGATTAGTGCATTTCTCAAATCTTGTCAGAGCAACTTCTTTTTGCAGCAGATGGCTAGTAACACAGAGACCCACAAATGGTCGAAGTGCACAAAATAGGTAACTGTGAAGTTCTCAACACTATATGGGACATCCACATCACATCTCTTCTTCTTAAGGCTCAGAGATTATTGCACAAGAAGAGGTGGTCAATGGCTATAAGGAAATAATAGTTTTAAGACATAGCAGAATTTACACACATAAACTTACAGATGTTGTTACAGTTTATGAAAGACCAGTGGAAACTTGAGCTGAAGTCCTGAAGTTCTCATCCCCAGCTGAGAAGTTATTGGTAACTGGTAGATGCTGGGAGGGAGTGTTAGTTTTTGTTGTTATTGTTGTTGTTGTTGTTTGTTTTTTTAGCATATGGTCCCTGAGAGGTCAAATAAGCCACTCTCATAAGAGCACCAATTGGACTTTATGGGTTTTTAAAAAAAATTATACAAGGATAAGTGGATATGGAATTAAAAGTGGATTTAAAAGGAAGTGCAGGAGCAGAATATAATCAAAATATAATGAACTACATTCTCAAAGAATTAATGAAAGTATTTAACAAGACACATGAACTGGAGAGATGGCTCAGAGGTTAAAAGCATATACTGCTCTTGCAGAGAACCCGAGTTTGATTCTAAATACACATGTCAGGCAGTTTCCACCTTTCTGTAACTCTAGCTTCAGGGAATCTGATGCTTTTAGCAGCATGTATTTGAAAAACAAGAAAATATTGCAAGAGGTTTTTCATTACATTGTTCAAATGAAATGAAGTAAAATACAGTAAAGAACTAATAAATGAAGCAGACAAAACTACAAAGAGTATCATTAGTTTGATAAAACTGAGAAATTTCATAATGAGATAGAAAAAGTGACATATAAGAGAGAAAAAGGGAAAGATGGTGATGTTACACACATAGTTTCAGGATTGAGGCCAAACCCATTGCTGCAGATACAGAAAAAACAAATATTTAACAGAAAGTAAATATGAATACTATGCTAAACAATCTTGGAAACTGAAAATAAAATAAGTTCCTTGAAAAAAACAATTTGAAACTGTCAGCTTAGGAAAAATCTGAAGAATCTATAATAATGAAATTACTTACAACAACAACAAGCAAGAATTAAGCCTAAGTTGGAATCTAATCAAAACATTATTATTTATAGCTACACCAAACTAGTTAGCATAGTCTCTCCCACATCTTTATAATTTTGTCATCAACAGTTTCTGTGAGGGGTGTGTGTGTGTGTGTGTGTGTGTGTGTGTGTGTGTGTGTGTGTGTGTGTGTGTGTGTTGGAGCATTCTTTTAAACTCCACATTTTGCAGCCCGAGACAGAAAGATTTTAAGCCTGAGCAATCTGAAATCTGTAAGAAAGAGAGTAAGAGAAAGAAACCATCTCCAAATTATTTAAGACAGCTAACACAGTTATCTATTTTTAAGTAAGGTCTAAACTCCGATAAGCGCATAGTATTTCTGAATTTCTATATTCTCGTTAGTCAAACAGTTTCTAAATTGGTAGGCATGTAAATGTTATTAATCACCTAACTGGAATTTAGCTCTGTTTCCATGCACTAACTATATTATTAACTCAGCTAGAGAAAATACACAAAGCTTATGCATTTTCTTTACTTTTTAAAATAACTTCTTTCCCCTTGTGACAATAAGTGAAAATGACTAACGTTTTCAAAGTCAAAGGAGAAGAATATATTCTTGGCTAATGACAGAAGTGTCCTTTCCAGTGGAGTTTCCCAATATATGACTAGGAGAGAAAGTAGATATTAAGTACTGCTTGTGAAAAGTAGTGGGGAAAATGTATACACTATTTATTTTTAAATTTTTGAGAAATCTTCTTGCTATTCCTCCTAGGTTAATACTTTCTGATTTCCATCCAAGTAGTGTAACAAGGTTTCCTTTTCTTTGTAACTCTACATTTCTCATTCATTTTTTTCTGCAGTAACCAATTGCAAAATGATATCTCACTGTGAATTTGATCTGCATTTCCAGGATGAGTGATGTTGAGTATTTTTCATACGCCCATATACATTTGTATGTCACTTTTTGAGAAGTGACTTAAAAATTGTATTTTTATTTGTTGAGATGAAAATACAATTACATACGATTCCCCTTCCCTTTCCTCCATCTAAACCCTCCCATATTCCCCTTCTTGCTCTTTTACAAATTCATCACCACTTTTTTCCATTATCTTCTATTACACACACACACACACACACACACACACACACACACACACACACACACACTCCTAAACACACAGGTACAACCTGGTTAGCCTGTATAACGTTATTTGTATTTATGTTTTCTGGGCTGACTTTTTAGTATTCAATAACCAGTTGACATGTCCTCCATGGGGAAGATCATTTTACTCAGTAATATTGTGGAAGAGGGTGCAGAGATCTTATAAGAACAAGAGAAGCCTATGAAGTTGTGTCTCCTAGGAATGTCAGAAGCTGTTTCCATAAAGCCTCACCAACATGACTGCCTAAACACTAACTGAACAGAGACCACAGCAATAGACACACTAACATGGACAAGGAAAGCTCATGATGCCTCAACCCTACCTACAGAACTACAGGCAACTGGGGAATTCTGAGAGCCAGACTTGAAGATGTCTAGTCTTTGTTTTCTTTTTAGAGAACTGACTTATTTATACATAAAATATAATATGTTTGTATATTAACCAATTACCAGACTAGATTTTGCAAAACTCTTTTCCCCTTTTGTAGGTCCTCTTATTCATATACTAATTTTAACTTTATTGTACAGAACAACATTAGGTCAATTTTTTCTGTCTTCTTTTAGTAGTTCATAGCTTCACATTTTGTTTTAAAGTCACATTGAATTTATATTTGTATATAGTGGGAGGTAAGGGTTTAATTGCATATGAGTATATTCCTCAATTCATTTATCAAAGAAATTATTCTTGTCTCTATTATGTGTTTCTGGCACTGCTACTGAAAATGTATTGACCATATATGAGTGCATTTATTCATAGCTTCCCAGTTACATTGCATTGGTTTATATGTCTGTTTTTGTACCAGTAGTTATGATGATGTTTTGATTTCTGTGACTTTAATACGTATTGGCTTGAAAAAACATTAATTCTTCATTTTAATTTTCCATGAAAATTTATGTAGTCATATTATTCAAAAAAGACATAGAAAATACTAATATATATATGTCTATATATATGTGACTATATTATGTATTCATTGTATTGGCATCAAATAACAACTTGTCCTTCATCTCTTCCTATCAGAGTGAAAATTTGATTGTAACAATTGTACTTCAAATATTGTATTATCTACTGTAGTAGATATCTTAGTTCAGCAAAACAATCAACAACAGTGGATTGCAGGGAGAGTACCTTGGGATGATAGATGATATTCAAAGATCTTTGTGGTGATTTGAAAGCAAACGGCCCCAAAGGAAGTGGTATTATTAGGAGATATGGCTTGTTGGAGGAAGTGTGTCACTGTTGGGGTGGGTTTGAGGTCTCTTTTGCTCAAGATTCTCTTAGTGTGTCTTTCAGTTGGCTTTCTGATGCCTGTAAGATATAGCACTCTCAGCTATTCATCCAGGACTACATCTGCCTACATGCTGCCATGCTCCCCACCATGATGATAAAGGATTGAACCTCTGAAACTGTAACTGAGCCACTCCAATTAAATGTTTTACTTTATAAGAGTTGCCATGGTCATGGTGCCTCTTTACAACAATGAAAACTCTAACTAAGACAGTCTTTATATTTTCAAAGTCTGAGACCATGAAAAAATTTAGAAGAAATCAAGCTGGCTAGAAATGAAAAATAATAGTTGTACATATGAGAATATTGAGCACCCAAACAAGAATTCTGAGAATACTAAGGAAATAATTCCTGAAAAGAGGAAGGATGATTCTTGGAAATATAATGTAACCAGTTTTCATGACTAGCCTTCAGATGCATCTCATAAAGAAATATGCATATTAAATATCTTATGAGATATTCTAAAACAATAACTAGCTTTTGAGAGATTACCTATTGTGAAATTAATATCTCATTTTATGTTTTGTGAAGGTGAGACATCAGTATAGTATAGTGCCTATCTGACAATGATGATTATTGCTTGTAACAAATGAAATATTAATAAATACACAAATTATGTAGGCATTGTGCCACACACTTTGGAAAAAATAAATAGATGATACGGACCTAACTTGTTGAACTGAAGAATAAATTTACTCTGAATTTTCAGGACAAAGTTTTATTTTGAAAATTTTAAACTGTAAGCAATACAAAGAAAAGAAGTATCTGGAAGAACGAACTTGTCTAGCCTTCATCCAATCATTCAAGTAATGATTTTATTAACCAATGAGCCGTCTCTCTGCCACAGTAGGGAAATTAAATTATGAGCTCATGGTGTAGCTATAAAAGTAAAAAGAATAAAATTTTCTGAGTGATATAAAGTGCTCTATTAAATACCACTTCCCACAGTAAACAGTGCGAAAACAGAAGATTCCAGATTGCACACCAATCACATCCTGGTACTCAGGCATATTTTCCTTCTCTTTCTCTTCTTCCTCCTCATTATTCTTATATATTCTTATTGTTATCCATATTGAACATTCTACATTCTTGTACTGCTTCACATACATTTTCTTGTCAGTAATGAGACCTTCCCCTCATGGAAAGTGATGATGGGTTCTTCTTTGTACTTTATTGTACCTACTCATTAGTCCTCCAAAGTATTCAAAAACATCTCAACAATTTCCCTAATAGATAGGGAACTTTTCTTTTTAACATCCCCAAACACCACACAGATAAGCTCTTTGGTTACAATTTGCTTGGATTACTAAAGAAACTTTCTAAGCTGTTAGACTCACAGCCATGTCATTAAACCTTTTCATACCTTCTATTTTTTCCACCTTCCCAAATCAATCTTGAGCAATCTTCAAAGGATTAGGTATTTGATTTACTCTTGCTGCTCTGCCAAAGACAGTTAAGTTAATGTTCTTATTAGCGTATATTAATTATACATAATGAGTTTCATTATGACAGTTTCATATATGGACATAATATATTTCATTGATATTCACCCCTACTATTCTCTTTTGTTTACTTACCACTCCTGTTAAATCCCCACACTTCTACTTTAATGTCTTTATTTTTCAACGACATAATAAATTGCATCAGAGTTCTTTACTGGGGCATGGATAGGGATTTGTTTATGCATAGCTTCAATGTCTGAGCCCTTTTTTATAGTAGGAAGTAAGCATTAAGCACAGACAAAAGAATCTGTACAATTTCTAAGTTCACACTTAGAGACATACTGCATTTTAAGATTTACAATTCCCCCTAACAAGGTTTCAGCTAACTGATGCTTGTGAAAACCTGCAGCTTCTCCTGATACAGTTAATAGTGTTTGCCCAAACCTGCAGCTTTCCTAACACAGCTGATTTCCCTTAGCACGGAATGATATGAAACAATGCAAAACGGGCAGTCACATAGGGGCATTTGGTTAGTTTATCAGATGAGATGGGATGTACTAGGAGTCACGGAGAACTCATTAAAAGTTAGCTTTGGTCCATGGCAGTTGTCAGTTGTTAGTGGTGGTGGTGGGGCAGGGGTTTGTCATGAAAAGCTAACTCCTGGCTGCAGAGAGCTGTTGTAAAAGTTAGCATTAGGTTGTTGACAGAGTGGCTAGTGGTAGCAAAGGAAACCATTGTTAAAAGTGAATCCTCATTTACTGTCAGAGTCGATGGCTGTCAGCTTCCATCTCTTTAGGCTTGTAACTTTTCCTAACTTTGCCTTGAAAATATCCCTATGTTTCTATTTCCTATCCTGGACCCTTAAACCAGTATTATATTCCTATTATTATGTGCAACTCTCCAACACATATATTTAAAAAGTTCATCCCAATTTTTATTTTTAACCAAAACTTGGCATATTAATTAATGGCTCATATAGTTTTACATGCTCTCCCCTTTTCCAGTTTCCAACACTGTACCTTTCATCTTTATAGCCTAACTCTTGACTACATTAGTTCAATTGCTGTTGACCCAAATCTTCAATCCATTCTCCAGGTTTCTTTTGGCTTTTCTCACTCGTGAAACACAGGGTTAATACTTCTAGAAAACACACACTCACACACACACACACACACACAAATGTAGTATATTGAGGGATGATTAAGATTACAAAATAAATTAGGATAATATAACCCGAGACATTGTCCTAATGAATGAAGTCATGAATAGGTAGATATTCCAAACAATCATATGTTTTTAATACTATAGGATATATTGCATAAATATTTTTTCTTCCTTTCTTTCTTTTTCTTTTTTTCCATACTTTTTTATTTTTTATTTTTTGGTTTTTCAAGATATGATTTCTTTGTGTAGCTCTGGCTGTCCTAGAACTTGCTCTTATAGAGCAGGCTGGTTTCAAACTCACAGAGATTTACCTGCCTCTGCCTCTAGAGTGCTAGGATTAAAGGGATGTGCCAACACTGTGTGGATCCAAATTGTTCCATAATTTTCTTTTTCTAAGTTTTTTTTTCATCAGAGCATGGCACTTTCGTGGAAAATGTTATTGTTGTCAAATCTGAGTAATAGTGATTAAAATCATAAAAATATAAATTTGTCATTTAATGCTTGTTTTAGATAGAGTCGAATGTGTCTGTTAACTTTGTGCTATGTCTTTGTAGAAAGTGATTGGAAATTTGCTTCAGGCTGAACATCATTTCTTAAAGTAAGGAAAAAGACTGCTTTGAAGGCTCCTGCAAAGTGATTAAGGCTTACTCCACAGAATGCCCAGAGCCCACAAGAGCCAGCAGGCATTTGGGACAAGACCTCCTGCTTGTGAGTAAAATGATGATATGTCTCCATGTCTCTTGATAAGATATTCTATAATTATTATGGAGTAGGATTCTTTTGTGGGAGCAAATGATTGCTTACTAATAATGTAGCATTTTAAGACTAAACTAGTATAAAATTTCCTGTATTTATTTTGTAAACTTCAACTTACAAGCATGAAGAAGAAAAGAGTTAAAATATTTAAGCCAAATTGATTCTGTACATTACATTATTTTGTATCATAACTCCATAGGCCTCCTGAGAAAACTTTTAACATTTTCAGTAATAATGTGACATAGTACTGTACCTCTACAGAAACTGAACAGAGAGACATGTATTTATCTCTGTGTCACTGTTATTTTCCTTCAGTGTAAACCCATTGGCTTTCAAAGTACAAGTAACAACAACCACAACAAATTTTAGAGCATATTCCCAAATATTTAAAAGTAGAAAGAAAGAAAATAGCATCTCCTCAAAATGGACACTTAGCAAACAAAAAGTCATTCCAGCTGTCTGTTTTTGTATTCATGCATACATAAATACTGGTGATTCTGTCCTATAGAGCAGATGTTGCAAATGACCTACCAAAAGGTAAGTTTGGGGTTTCCATAATCTTTCCCGTATGACCTTATTTGCTGTTGTTTCTAACACCATCTATTAGTATAGACATTTTTATTTGAGACTTGCAAGTATGAAAGGGAATTTAAATCCCATACTCTAGTTGGCTCTAATTTACATTCTAGACTTAGTTGCCTAGCAACAAGTATTTCAAAGGTATTGGACATAGCAACGGAGTATCCTTCTGTTCTAGCTTCGTTGCATCCACCAGATTTCCTTTCTAATGAACAAAGAATTAAAACTTTTAATTCATTCGTTTAAAGAAAAGTATGTATTTTATACATATTTAATACAGTTTGACAGATATCAAAATTATGTATTTTGTCTGAAACTCTGTTTTCTTAACTAAGTATTTATAAGCCTGGTTTTCTTACCCCATTATATGGTGATCACCATATAATCATTTTACCTTCTGTACTATTGTTCACACTGTTCTTGTTCTTTAATTCTAGATATTGCTTCTACACCGAATTATACTATGAAATCATTGTAGTATATAGAGTTCTATTAAAAGTACAAGCCCATTTACAATCTTTTGAATGAAAGCATAGATCTATTTTTTTATTTTATCATTTGATTTAATTTTGCATATTAGCCACGGATTACCGTGTGTGTGTGTGTGTGTGTGTGTGTGTGTGTGTGTGTGCAGAACTTGTGAGGTGAATAGCTAAATAAATGAATATAAAATAATATTAAAATTATAAAATAAAATTTAAAACATAAAGTTCTGACACAACAGTTTGAGACAAGGATCATCCAAAGATGTCTTTGAGTTAATTTTCCTTGGACACACAGTATACCCTTAAGAGTGTTTGTTTCCCCAGTAAGACTCCCTTGGAAGAAACTAAATTTTTATTTGCAAGTGGTTATCCATTGGAGATAGTTTCTAGGTTAGGGATGGGGCATGTGTCCACTTCTTTCAGCTCTAGGAGCCTGTGTGGTGCAGATCCATGCAGGCCCTATTCATGCTGCCTTAGTCTCTGAGTTCATATATGCTTTGGTCCTGCTGTGTTTAGGTCTTGTTTCCTTGGTGTTCTCCATATCTTCTGGCTCTTACATTCTTTCTGATTCCTCTTCTATAGGGTTCTCTGAACCCTGCAGGAAGGGACTTGGTGTGTGTGTGTGTGTGTGTGTGTGTGTGTGTGTGTGACATATATACTGTATTATCTACAATTAGTGAGGAAATTATATTCTACATCTTTAAAGATGAATATTATCATCTTTAATATTTAAATGAAATATTCCCAAATATTTAAAAGTATTCCCAGAATACTTTTTTTACAGGAAAAGGTCATTTAATTGACCATTAATTCTTCAATTCTTTATTCATATCAGTATGGTTCTAGGATGTTGAATTTACACTTTGCTACTCAAATTGTATTAGCATTGGGACAGTTAGCTGCAGTATCCCTTTGGCACATATCCCAATACTTTTTAAGAAGCATTCCTCACTTTATGAGTTGCTCCAGGCTCATTTTGGTATATTACTCTACACAGCCCTGGATTTAATAAATTTTCCATGAATTCCAAGTTACTTTCGTTGTAGAATAGTATTAGGAACCAAGACAGTGTGCACAAGTTTGTATATATACACACACATGAATATTTGCTCATGTATACTATACACACACACACACACACACACACACACACACACACACACAGACTTGTTCTGTTCTGTTACATCATGGTCCATTTTACACTTTCTCTTTTGTGATTAGTAATCCTGATTTGTCAGCTGGACTAGATATGGCATCAACTAAGAAACAAGCTTTACTCTGAGCATATTTGAGAGGGACCTTGTAATTAGGTCATGTGAAGTGGGAAAACCCATGCTAAATGTGAGTGGTACATTAGGTTAGCCACCCAGAATTGAGGAATTACAAATAAAAACATTTGGGGGTTTTCCTGTGTGCCTTCACATATCGCTGGCAAGTTCGCTTGCCAATTGTTTTTGCCACTGATTCAGGTACTGCTGTGTGATGATATATTGTGTACCCTAATCCAATCTGCCTGAAGATCAGAGGATAGAACAAGCCACTAGATTAAACATAGAAGCCAGACAGTGGTGACACACACCTTTAATCCTAGTACTCGGGAGGCAGAGATCTATCTGGGTCTCTGTGAGTTCAAAGCCACCCTGATCTACATGAGATTGACTCAGTCTAGGAGAGAAACAGAGCCAGGCAGTGGTGGCACACACCTTTAACCCCAGCACTTGAGATCTCATGCCTTTGCTACCAGTATTTGGGAAGCACACAATGCCTTTAATCCCATCACTAGGATGAAAGTAATATGGCTGGGCAGAGAAAGGTATATAAGGCATGAGGAGACAGGAACTAAACCGTTTTTTTTTTTGGCTGAGAAAGTCCTTTTAAGTCCTTTTGGCTAGAGAGCTTTTTCAGCCGAGGACTCAGAGGCTTTCAAACAGAGAATTTATGGAGTCAGCAAGGTGAGATGTGGCAGTGGTTTGTTCCTTTGTCTCTCTGATCTTTCAGCATGTACCCCAATATCTAGATCTGGCTGTTTATTAAGACCAATTAGCATTCATGCATCACTGCTGTTTCTATCCTTTGGTGGCATCAGAATTCAGCCTCTTTGGCCTTTTATGACTGATTGGACTGCTAGTATGCAGATAACCATTGTCAGACTAGCCAAATCCTACAATGTTAATCAATCCAATAAATTCCCTCTTAATATTCTGGAGGTTGTTTTCCACTAGAGAAGTCTGCTATGCAGTCCTTCACACAGAACAGTTAAGCAAGGCATTTTTCTAATTGTTTAGTTTTGATTTTTCCAGAGGTGTTTTTATAAAAAGACTGTCTTTAAATGAGTAGTTTTTCAGGCTGACTTTTAAATTACCATTTTATGGTTGTTTTATCCATGCCATTGCACAAATTAATAGTTTTGTTCTTTACATCAATGAAGAGTATTACCTTGTATGATGTAATTTTGTTTGTTCAGCCAGGTACATATTGAAGAACTTTATTTTGCTTCCAGAATTTGAAAAGCTGTGAGTAAAGCTTCTGTAAACATCCACAAGAAATGTACTGAATATATATATATATATATATATATATATATATATATATATCTGCATATACAATTGCTGTATTATGTTCACATTTTTTATTTTTCCAATAAAAAGTATGTTATCATCTTATATGATTTTAAAGCTTGTGTATCTTGTATTTTGGGTATCTGTCAATCTCCGTGAATTTCACTGATTTGTTCATAATTTCTGTTTCATTTTAATTTAGCCTGAATAGTTTACATACTCAAAATTGACCACAACACTGAACCTTTTATTCCATGATCTGCTTTTATGTCCTTTTGTGCCTTGCCATGGTAACCTACATGATAACTTTTATTACTTCTTTTTATTTTTTGAGATTATAATATAATTACATTATTTACCTATTACAGTTATAGGAGTGCTGTTCTGATGACTCGGCTCTGACTGATGGCAAAATCTTTGTGATTAGCAGAGTAATGAGAATCATAGGCAAAGGACCTATGCCAGATCCAATCCTTGGCCTTGGTTATATGTCTCTTTAAGATCAATGACTCTGTAATGGTGACTTCATAATCACTGGGTTTGAAGCATTGCTGAATATAAGAATCTTACTCCTGCTATTTTTAATTGGGAATATTTCTGTCCCAATTAATTATGGATACACTCAAAGTTATTTTTATTCAAGCAACAACTAAATCCAGGTAGGCCTCACCTATTAGTAGCCAACTGAGTTGTAGTTATGAAAATTTTAGCTTGGTTATCATTGACATAACAGCTAATATTCACATACAAGTGAATACATGCCATATGTCTCTCTCTGAGACTGGGATACTTCTACTGGAGATTGTTTTCCAGTTCCATTCATTTACCTGCAAATTTCATGGTGTCATTTTTTAACATAATTTCTTTATTGATTCTTTGAGAATTTCACATCATGCACCCCAATTCCATTCACCTCCCAGTCGTCCCATATTCCCCCCTCACCCCTGCAGCACCACCAAAAGAAAATGAAAAAAAAAATCAAAACAAAACAAAGCAGGCAAGGAAACAAACAAAAACAAGAAAAAGCAAAAACAAAAGCCTCTTCATTTCTCCATCTTTCCTGCCTGGTAGCATTAAGGATCCACGGTGTGTCACACAATATAGCCTTTTGCACAATCAGCTTCACTAGCAAATGTTCATTGCAATGAATCATTGATCTGGTTCAAGGCCTCTAGCTCCTTGTACACCATCATCACTGGATCCTCACCAAAACTCCCCTGGGATATCCTGAGGATGCCCAGAGTCATGGAGATCCTGTGGGTCTCATTCCACAAGACCAATCCTTTCAAGAGCTCCCAGAGGACTAGACGGGGTAGATGTAAGAGTGGGTCAACCCCAGGCCAGCTATGGGCCTTCGTGGTAGCTAGGCTGCTCAGTCTGTACCACTGGAGCTGCCTGCCTCAGGCAAGGGGGCTCAGCCAACTCCTCTACACCAATATCATCAGAGTCAGTTCTCCCTCACCTATGGTGAGGGGTGTGGCCATCCGCCAAATGCAGGGACCAACTCTCCCATGAGGGTCTGGGCTAGCTCTCTTGCTGCAGTGTCCAGCAAGAGGCGAGGCCAGCTTTCCCAGGGCCAGCAAACAGTGGGGCCAGATCACCATGGCCCTCTGATTTAATCACCCATGGTTCCTATGGGCCCTTGAAGTGACACAGGCTACAGGCATCCAACATAGACCACAACTGCAGCTGGACATGGCCCTTGCCCCCAGCTCCAGCCCATCTTCTGGGTAGAAGCACTGGACACTCAGATCATGACGGCTCTGATGGCGGCCTGGCCCCCAGACACCAACAAGGCCACAGGTTTTGGCCCCAGCCCCAGGTTCCCCTGTGACCTTTGGTGGCAACATGAGCGTTGGACTTCAACACAGAACCTAGCCTGGGTAGGACCACACACCCAGACATGGTTCTTGGCAGCAACCGGGTCTGGATGACACTGTGGCTCCAGGTGGCAACATAGGCCACTCAGATGAACATGGCCCCAACTTCGTCCCTTGTAGACACACCTACATGGCCAC